ACGAAACTTAACACACGTCATTCTGGACCTAATTCAGTAGCCAATTCCAAATTTCGTGCAAATCGAAGGATGTATAGAGACTTTGGTGCCCCATTTACAATAAATCGGAGGAAAATATATATGGGAGCTATATCTAAATCTGACCCGATTTTCTCAAAACTTGACATACATCATTCTAGACTCAATTCAGTGCACTATGCAAAATTTCGTGCAAATCGGAAGATATATAGGGACTTCGGTGCCCCTTTTACCTTAAATCGGACGAAACTATATACGAGAAACTTGACACACATCATTCTTGACGTAGTTCAGTACTCTATGCCAAATATATATATAGTGACTTTGGTGCCTTTTTTTTCTAAATCTGAACCGATTTTCTTCAATTTCAATAGTCCTTGGGCCAAATAAGTGACTTGTGCCAAATTTCATCCAATTCAGATTATAAATGCGACCTGTACTTTGTTTACAATTTAACATCTACGGACGGACGGACGAGTTTCACTCTTTACTCGAATTCGAGAGAGCATTTCAGAGCTCTGGTGTTGATACATTACCTTATTATTGCATCATGCGTGCGGCCATAACATAATTAATAGGTACTGCGTTTAGCACAGCTGACTATTATAAAAAATTAAATTCATTCAATATCTTGATTCGCTCAAAAGCATATGCTAAATCGAGATAGATTCAAATACAACCTTGTTTTTGCACAAAAAAATTCATCTCTTCTCCTAAAAGTTCCGAAATGGCAACGCTGCATGTATACGTAACAGCTGACTGTCAACTTTATATAATTTTAATATAAGTCTACAAGTCTGCTAGGATTTTGTACCTCGATTTAAAAGACAGTCTAGTTTAAACGCATCTTAAATGTTTGGTCATCGGTGATGTCATGACTATCCGATCAACTGCAGCTGACTATCCGATAAACTGTTAAAGTGCATAGTTACCATATAAAATTAAGTTCATTCAATATCTCGACTTGCTCAAAATCCTATCAAGATAATTTCAAATACAACTTTGAAATTATCTTTGGTACCAAAGAAGTATAACTTCTCCTAAAAGTACGAAAATGGCAAGCTCTAACGATGTATGTATATTTAAACAAATAACAGCTGGCTGACAACTACAAAATCCTAGCTGTTTAAACTTGTATTAAAATGATATAAAGTTGGCAATTAGCTGTTGATACATCACCTTATTATTGCATCATTCGTGCAGCCAACAAAAAAAATTGACATGACTACAGCGTTGCCAACAAAATTGGAAGTTATCCTGTCGTTGATTTGGCAACACACCAAAAATATTCAATTATTCTATTTGGCAAATCAACACAAATATCCCTGTAGGAAAAACTAAATGATTTATTTGATTTCTTTCTATTAACTAGTTGCACTTCCATTAATTAATTTATTTGATTTCTTTCTTTTAACTAGATGCACTTCCATGTCACTGGTTTGGATACCTTATATGCCCACGTACCTCGTGATATTCTTCCCGAAGAATGTGGTGGTTTAGCGGGTAAAATTGAGGACTTAAGTGATCAGTTTTATAAACAGCTGTTATCCAAAAGGTAATTTGTCATTACCCATTGTTAATAATTAATTTCAGTTAATGTATTTTTCTTTACTTCATTTTCAGAGACTATTTAATGGATCCGAAATATTGGGTTATCGAAAAACAATAATTCCGATAAAATGTGGCAGTTACTTTCATAGAGTATTTATTATTTTTTTACTAAAATAAAAGATTTTGAAACCAAAAAGTTTATAGATGAATTGACTTATCCAAGGATTATTCACATTAACAAAAACTAAATTTATATTTTATATCTATTGTTAGAGAATTACTAGTAAAATTATATAGACAGACGATTTTTTAATGCATTATTCGTTTCGCTATACTTTGACTTCTCCCACGGAGCAACAAACCTCAAATGTCATCAACAGCGGTTAAGAAAAACATCAGCAATTCACACTTAACCCATATAAATTCCATGTCAAGAGAAACTCAATTTTTGATACATGAACCAATGTTCATAATAATCAGTAAGGAAAGTTGGAAAGTCGGACGGGTCGACTAAATGATACCTTCCACCACTTTGGGTACATACAAGATATGTTCATACGTACAATATCGATAGAACAGCCATAGCATCTTTAGAGGACCTTAATTAAATATGTAATCTACATAGATATATGTACCAATTTAAAGCAACCCCTAAACATGTCATTCTGAAATCTATGCAAAATGTCATGTCTATCGAGCATATCTGGTGTATCATTTGCATACAATCGAGCAAAACTATGTATGCGAGCGATATGTAAATCTGTACAGATATCAAGCAAATTTTATAGTAAAGAAAGAGGTTTGCAATACCTAAGTCCGCTAGTAATAGAGGAGCGTTATGGGAATCACCTTTCTGACATGAACAAGGTTTCGGACGTGGAACGAAGTTTACGGGTAACGCAGCTGAATGCAGTTCAAGGAAACAAAAGTGTAGATAGGATAATGAAACTCTATGAATCCAAAAATGGCGTACGTAATAAAATTATCGGTAACGTCGATGCGGCTCTCGAGTCCTACAATACACCCTTTAACTGGAATTCTATTTCTAAATGTTTTACCCTACATTATGCAGACAAGAGGGATCTTACAACTATGGAATACCAGATGACAACGCTTGTGCTGGGTAATAGTTAGGTTGAAGATTTTTATCAAGAGGTGTATTACGAATATACTATTTAGATTAGATATCGATATCCTAGCTCATAGTTTAGATATCGATATCGTAGCTCAACTTACCGAGACAAGGCCTTGGATACATTCATTCGAGGTCTGAAAGGACAAATGTCAATTCACTTGGGTATGAAGGAACCTAAAGTAATCAAGTCCTTCAACTTTGTTTGAAAAAGGAAAACCAAATAGTTAGTGCTGATTTTGTTAATCGTTAATAAACCCAACATTTTACCCCTGTGGCTTGTACGCAGACTCTATATATGTGAGATACATGTATATCTGTTCCAATTTCAATGAATCTTCACACACTTATTTTGGACTGAACTCAATACGTAATGCAAAATACTATTCTTAATCGGACAAACTTTGTGAGTTTTATGCACGAAACTTAACACACATCATTCTAGACTTTATTCAGTTCGCTATGCCAAATTTTGTCCAAATCGAAAGATAAACAGGGACTTCGTTACAAAATAATAATATCCAGTACCACAGTGTGGTGAAGGGTATAGAAACAAGTGTATATTTGTGACTGTGATTTTCGTGATCTACCTGTGGTAAAAATTTCAAATTTCCTAAAGTCAGCTTGCTCCCCAATTCTTTATCAGAAGAAAAATTCGGAAATTCTTGGAAAAACTGAAATATTTAATAGCCATGGATACGTAGACGAAAGCAAAAGTCGATATTTAGACTTTTCGATTTTGGCAAACCTGTTCAAAATCGATTTTCGACAAATATTAGGTTGGGGAAAAATAAATCCATTATTTTATAGGAACAATAGGACTTTAACAGAATGTCCGATTTGGACCAAATATGCTCCGTTTTGTTGTATGATTTGTTGCCATTCTACAGGTAACTTCATAATAACTCTCTCATAGAAGTCTTGCTCTCTATTTGGAAAACAATCAAGTAGTTTCAATCCTCCCTAGACACCAAATATTTATCATTACAGAAATTTTGCAATGCAAGAAAAATATGATAATCGCTTGGTGCCAAGTCCGGACTTTATGGCGGATGCATTAAAACTTCCCAACCAAGCTCCCGAAGTTTCTGGCGAGTTACTGTAGATGTGTTTGGCATAGCGTTGTCCTGGAGGAACACGACACCTCTCCTGTTCCCCAATTCTGGCCGCTTCCGGTCAAATGCTATTTTCAAACTGTCCATTTGTTGACAGTAGAGATCAGAATTTAGCGTTTGGCTATATGAAAGCAACTCATAATAAATAATCCCCTTTCAGTCCCACCAAATGCATAGCAGAACCTTCATGGCCGTTTGTCCTGGATTGATCACCGTTTGAGGTGATTCAACACTCTTTAACCACGATCGTTTTCGCATAGGGTTATCGTTGGTGATCCATTTCTCATCTCCAATCACCATCCGTTTAAGAAATAGGTCTATCTTATTCCATTTGACCAAGGCTTCGCAGATGGAAATTCGATCAATCCTATTTTTTCAGTTAATGGACGATTTTTAGCTCCTGGCCAATGTTACGACTGCTAACATGTCGGTCAACTTCGATCATAACTCCGATTTTATCAAAATTTAATATTCACTCCAACTTGTGGTGCAGGATGGCTTTAGGCAGCCTCTTTGTTGTAATACCACGAAAGTTACTAGGTTTGCATTGAATATTTGAATATACATATGGTCTGTTCCTGTACGGGAACAGGCCAATAGTGAACGTAAAAAATAATTGTATGAAAATAATAAAATTTTCAAAAATGTGCACAGTTCTAACCACTGTGCATTTACATTACACACACACACTATACCGAATATTTAGTTAACAATGAATGCAAGGGCTTCCCACTATAACAGAATCGGGTAAATAACAGACCTAGTTCGTGCGTGCAGGTGTATTTAGCATAAATTGAATTGTTACGTTAACGTTGACTAACATTACTACTACGTCATAATCCGGGGAAACCGGTTAGGGCCTATCAGGTTTTTTGTTATCGGCTGACTGTTAAATAAACAATAGCCAACCCAGTGCATGGTTTCGGATCTACAGCGAAAAGCACAAACAGTTGTGCTGGAGATAAGCGAGGGAATAGATGTACTCAACACGATCGCCACGCTTATTACGCTGTGTTTTTGTTTATTAATTGTATAGATTTACGAACGATACGCTTTACAGAAAAACCACAATAAAAACGTGAAGAAGAAGAGAAAAAACAATTAAAAAATAAATTGAAATAATTAACAATTCCATAATAGAATAATTAAATATTAAATTAACGGCTATAGTTCAATAAAATAAAACGACGTACTCATGGAATTAGTGGGGGATAATGAACAAGAAGCAATCTTGGATTCACTGCAAGAATGGTTTGAAGAAAATCCAAAATTTCCAAATAAAATTGGTAAGTTGCCAAAAGAAAAACGCCAACGACAACAAAAAGAAAGGTCTAATAAGATCTGTGTTTGGGATTGCCATTCATTGTTCGGTGTTTTAAAAACAATTCAAGACATGATGTTTGAATGTTTTATGTGTAATAAATTCAATTTATATGTGTGCGACTTAATTCTGATGTAAAATTCAGATAGTATATATTTACCAGAAAAATGTGTTAATTACTTAGGCACAGTGGGATATTTAAGAAGATAGAGTGGATGATTTGATTTCAAAGCCTTTGGAAGAACGTTTTAATCCGCAGTAATATAAAATCGTAAAATAAATGAAAGTTCATTGAATGTATTGAAAACAATTTCCGACATAATCATCGGGAATTTCGTGATATTTTGATAATAAATATGGCCTGTAGAGCGGCTAGAAAATCAAACTTCGAATAATATTAATGAATTCAAACCTAATGAAATATTTTCGGTTATAGCAAAAGCATTTGAAAAGGTTATTTACGATTAAATGTCGTCATAACATGAGGGGAAGAAAAGTATATTTGATGGTCAGTTTCAATTTAAAATTGGCCCGTATAATATATTTGTCATTCCGAATGCAACTCCTCGAAATACTCATCTGAGCTCCATAAAGTATATATAATCTCCATTAGAATAACATTCTAGTCGATGTAGCCATGTCTGACCATCCGTCTGTTGAAATCAGAGCAAGCAAAAGTGAAGATAGAGCTTCGAAAAAAAAAATAACAGAATATGGGGGTTATTCTGTATTTTGAGCAAATTTTCCAACCCAAGCACTTGTCATTTTAAAATCTGATCGTGTAGAAAATCTTCCCACTAAAAATTATCTATATTGGCCCACTTTTCAGGGTAGTCCCCAATATTCGCTATTTTTTTTTAATTTTGGTCACCTTTTTCAACTTAATTAGATTTAATTTGATATATCGGATGCTCAATAGATAGAAGATTGACTAAAGCTTCATGGTAGACAAAAGAAGACCTCCTAATATTCGTAATTTTGTATGTTTTTACACCCTTTTCAACTTACTCAGCTGTTATTTAGTATTTTGGGTTCACAGTGTGTAGAAAATTCTAACAATTAAAAAAGTGTTTTTCTAACAATTAAAAAAGTGTTTTTTTATAATAAAATATTTTGAAGACCTCCGCAAACCATGGGCTGAGGGTATACATTTGTGGGTAATGTATACCCTCAGCCCATGGTTTGCGGAGGTCTTCAAAATATTTTATTACAAGCTTTATACAAGATATATCTTTTTATCAAAGAGGTTTCGGTTTTAATGTTGATTAAATCGGTTATTCAATTCCATTGTGAGGAGTGTGGACCAATGGATCCCATTTACGGACCTGATCTACTTTTGGTATAGGTTTCGCCGATTTTCCCGTATTCGATTAATCAACTTTTTGTAGTGAAAAGTATAAAAGTCGAAGTAGACTTATGGTCTTTGAGGAAATCGCAAATTACTCGATTTTGCATTAATCGGTAAAAGTCGAAAATCAAATGCGAAAAGTCTAAATATCGACTTTTTGTCAGCGCAAAAATCAAAAGATCGAATAGTCGACTTTTGCGCTCTACTACGTATCTCTAGTTTGGTAAAGATATTAGGCTGTGGAAAGTTTGGTTTAAATCTGATATTTAATTTCATTTTGGCCTTTTGTGGGGGAGGTACCAGAAAAGTAGTGGACCAATGGGTCCCATATTTGGACTTGAGCTAGGCTTAGTAAATGTAATACGTTGTACAAAGTTTGATTCAAATTGTATAGTTCGTTTGTATGATATTATAACATTAGTTTTTAGCACAATTTGTACCATTTTGTGGGGTGGATAATAGAAATAGTGGACCGATATTCCTCATCTTCGAATTTAAACTAAGTTTGGAAGAAATATTACAATGTGCAAGGTTTGAACGAAATCGGTTGCTCCTTTCGAGACTTATCGTAGGCGCACCAGTCAGCCAGACGGACGGACTTTTATAAATCGATTCCAAATTGGCTGAAACAGTTTTGTTCTAAAGAAACATGGGGTGTAAAACCAATATTTTGATCTGGCATATTTTTTACCGGACAAAGTGTGTATGCCCTCATTAGCCATAAGACTGAGTGTATAAAAATTATATATGTATATCGGACATATTTGTAGTGTATCCCCCACATAACCCTACATCCTAAATTTCAGTGTTTTAGGGATCTCGAATACGTGGTTCATCAAAATTAATTTTAATTTTATATTTTTGATTCTCATTGAATAGAAAAAAATTATGAATGTTGACCTAAGTTTCTGGGTAACCAAATATAAGGGATATTTGGTATTTTTGGGCGTTTGGACACGGCTTTTCAAAATAATTGGGTCTAATTTGATTTCTAGGTTCTCATAGGATATCACATCTTCGTACCAAAAACGATAGCACTCCATTTTCGGTATCTTATGGCTTTATGGCCACATATTCCCACCATTGTCGCCATAATTTTATTATAAAAGATTCTTAGCTTACCTACATACAATATACAGTGAATTTTTAAAATAGATAAATTTTTATATAAGGGTAGCTTCCATTATCATTATTTTGTGTTCTATTTTGGTATTGTCCTCCACCTCTCCCGTTTTTCCATTTTTGCCACCGTTTGACTACTGTTTCTATTGCTAACAACCACCGTCTCTCCACTCATTCGATTGTGGTTAGTTTGGCTTTCCATTGTTTCTTTATTTTAGACAATGTTGTTGATCTCTGCATTATGTTATAAAATTCGCATATGTATTTTCCAAATTATTTCGATATAAATGCCAATTACAATAAATCAAACAAGAAGAAAACATTAACACAACAAATATTTTCTATGCCATAGAAAACCACTCCAATTTTGTTTTTACTTTCTCTTATAAGAAACCAGTATTTAAAGTTTTATGAATTGCATTCATAAAAATTCAAAAAAAATCGGACATTGACAACAATTTCTGAACACTATTCATATAACATAGGAATTATTAGTATTCTTTTTTTGTGGAACACAATCAGAGAATAGCATTCAGAGGATAAAGAACATACTACCACAAAATAGAAGTATTTAAAGTTTTATGAATTGCATTCATAAAATTCAAAAATTCGGTCATTGACAACAATTTCTGAAAACTATTCACATAAGATACGAATTATTTATTTATTTATTATTTTTTTTTTTTTGTGGAACATAAACAAAGAATAGCATTCAGAGGATAAACAACATACTACCACAAAATAGAATAACATAGTCCCCACATAATGTTTTCGACCTATTTAAGGACTTTTGAATGCATTCCGCGGGTATAAAAATTTCGTGCCGGCCCTATTGATATGAAAATATTAACTGACATTTTTTATACACTCCAGGTACATATACTGGATTTAATTTCGGGCCAGAGCTCGAAAAATGTATTTTTAAAATTCTTAATCAGAAAAACTTCTATGTCGATTGATCTATTTTCCTCTGTTTGCCTAGTCAAATCACAATAAAGACATTATTTTGAAAAATTTGCCCTATGGTCATTTTCTAATAGAAGTCATTGTAATTTTGTATTCCGGCTCTTGGTGACAAATGAACTTATTCGCAGAATATTTGCAATACAAGTCTCGGTTCCGCCATAAGAGTTTCTATCCTGTTTTCGATTTGTTGATGGTCCATCTGTGATTTTGTATCATTGTAATTTTGTATTCCGGCTCTTGGTGACAAATGAACTTCTTCGCAGAATATTTGCAATACAAATCTCGGTACCGCCATAAGAGTTTCTATCCTGTTTTCGATTTGTTTGTGTCCTAATATTTAAAATGCGAATATTCATCATCTAAAATGGTTTTATTTCTTTTTCAAACTATACTCCAGCATGATTTATACCCCTTTTCATGAGGACAGCTATCGAAACACTTTTTTGCTTCGATTGAGAGCACTTCAAAACATAGTTTTTGAACGCTACAACAGCATTTCTTTGCGAAGAAAATGTTTGACCATGTATTTTTTCTTAATGTGCGCAAATAGTCGTTGGGCGCCAATTCAGCGATGTGCTGATCAAAAGGAGCTGATTTGTGCCAATGTGTAAAAGCTCGCATTTTCATGGTGTAAAATCGTCAAAATGTGCGGGATCCAACAAAAATAATATTATTATTGCGGCCAGGTGATTATACAATATCGAACGTATGCTGAATGAAATGTAAGATGCCTCTATTTCACGATATGTCAAACGACTCCCTGTGCTGTAATTGTCAAAAATCACACCACATATATTTTCACGAGTTAATTCATTGGGTCATGGGCGAAAGAAACCCACAAAATTCTTTGGAATATCGAGGGGATTGGAAAGAACACAAGATAAGCAAAGCTTAACGCTTAACAAAAAAGAAATCTGCAGAATGAAACGTATGTATATAGTCACCCATTCAGTGGTACTCCCAATTATTCTATATTTTGGGAAGTTTGGACACGTTTTTCAATCAAATGGGCTATAAACCACCCGAATATTCGGAATTTTTGGACATTTGAAACGTTTTTAAACCGAATTGACTGCAATTTGGTACTTTGAGTTTTTATTTGGTGACACATCTTCCTATCTAAGATTATCAATATTGATCGACTTTTACGATACCACCGAATTTCGGTATTTTAAGGAGTTTGGGCACATTTTTAGCTAAATTAGCTATACTTTAGTCGTATGAATTTTAATTGGATAGCAAATCTTCCTACTTTATTCGGATCGGGCGGATTAAACTAGGTTTTTAATAATTTGTATACCCTTTACCACACAGTGATACAGAAATAGGTTTTTAATAATTTGTATACCCTTTACCACACAGTGATACAGAATATGCATAGAATCACTTTCATTGTCGATTTATGCATATCCGTCCGTCTGTTGATGTTAAATTGTAAACAAAGTACGCAGGTCACATATATAATCCGATTTGGATGACAATCCCTATTGAAACTTCACCATCGGTTCTGACTTAGAAATAGAGTCCAT